CCTGTGACAGCCCAAGAGAAACAGAGTTGTTAGCGATAGAGATGACAGTACACTTAAGAGGAGAAAAAAAGAAAGACACCTCACCTAGCAATACCTATTCAAATCTCAACCTGCTGCAAGGCATGAAACCATTTTTGAATGGTTAAGGAGGAAAAGTTGTTAATCCATGATGCAGACAACTCCAGAAATATCAGATTACAGAAAGTGGACTACCAGAGAGATGGAATTGCAAGGTCCAGAGAATACAGGCTAGACACAGGTCTAAATCTGGGAGAAAGGGATGTGGCATAGGAGCATAGTAGATAAAGAGGACGAGGTGAGGAGAGAAAAATTGTACATGCTTTATCAGTCCATCAGTCTCTCTATAACTTCTTCATAATCACACTGCTATCCTATAGCATAAATGCAGCACCTAGTCTGGATGGGAGAATCTTCTAGATTTATACTCCCTGATGTAAGTCCATGCAGTCTGAGCTCGCACTGATGCTTCAAACTGATTGCTCTACATTGTAAAAAACTTAAATAACGGCCTAAGTTCAGTCTAATATTGCACACAGCATCTGTGATGGAGAAGCAGAATTTGCAAGCATCCGCATCCGATTCTTAGCCGTCCCCGCATACCTGTCTACTGAACATGCTGTCCGTCTGGGTGCGCACTACAGGAAGCAGACCGTTTTGCACTGTGTTAGCTTCAGTAACGTATACTATATGGACAAAGTATTGGGACACACCTCTTAATCATTGAATTCAGCTTTTTCAATCAGACCCATCGCCACAGGTGTAATAAAATCAAGCACCTAGCCATGCAGTCAGGTTTACAAACGGTTGTGAAAGAATGGATCATTATGAAGAGTTCAGTGAATTCAAGTATGGGACTGTAAAAGGATGCCACCTTTGCAATAAGTCAGTTTGTAAAAAATTTTCCTTACTAAATATTACATAATACTGTACTAAATATTACATGATATTCTACTATACATGGTATCATTGCAAAGTGGAAGCATTTACAATCAACAGAAACTCAGCCACAAAGTGGCAGACCATATAAAATTACAAAACGGGGTCACCAAGCCCTGAGGCGCATGATAAAGTGATAAATCAGTGGGCCTCATTCACCAATATTTTCTTAAGAATTCTCTTAAATTTGTTCCTACGAAATTTGTTAAGAACAAACTACGTCGGATTCATGGCGTGTTGTTAAGTAGAATTGTTCGCACCTTTGTTCTTAAGAATGATGAATTCCACGTCTTCGTAACTGAAAGTGTGTGCCAGTTTGTCCTAATTAGCATAGGGAAATGCCCTGCAATTTCCCATAAAAGGGAATGAGAATGTAGGACCGTGTGCAAGGAATGGCGAAGACACGCGCAGGCTGTGGACTGCTTGGCATCAAGAGGAAAAAACTTCAATAATGCTGAAATAAAAGTATTAATTCAGTAAAATCCTGTTATAGTGGACTCGCTAATAATGGAATATCGTCCATAACGGACGAGGTCCGCCGGTCCTAGCCGTGCGCCTTTAGGAGCATACAGAAAAAGCATCGGATATAACGGACTGGCATATAACGAAATTTTGCTTATAACGGACAAACAATTTGGTTCCCAGGGCTGCTTTTAGCTGTAGTTTTGTTTGGCTATAATGGACATAAAGGTGCGTGGCATGCCAGTGATATCCAGCGCAGATACGTAGTCGGGATTATTAATGGTCATGCATCTGGTCAGGTAAAGTTGGATTACTACATGTACAATATAATAATCTATACCACAAGTTTGTCTGCTGGGGTGTGGCATGAGTAAATGGTGTCCTGTAGTTGTGTTCTGGGCATACAGCAACTGGATATAACAGACTTTGGATATAACGGACTGTTTTGCCAGGACCCTTAAAGTCCGTTAAAAGTAGATTTTACTGTACAGGAGGTAAATGCAAATAGACACATATTATTTTGTAGCGTAACCAGTGGATATAAAGCCCCCAAGAAAGCTGATACATGGAGAGATATGACCTTCTCTGTGAACGCTGCGTGTCAAATAAATCTAAATGATCTTCAAACATGCGTTCCCTTCTCAGAGCACGATTGGCATGCTCTTCAAGAAGTAACACAAATGCCATTTTGATAGTAAGGCCAATGCGCAGAAACAGACCTATTTATAATCTGCATGATTGCTGTTACTACCATGAAAATAATTTTTACACTTTAAAATTATTTTTTATATTTTACTTTTACAAATTATTCAAATACTATCATTTTATCAACTGTAGACTGAACAAAACTGCTATAATCGATTATTTTGAACAAACTATCATTACTCAAATGTGTGTACAAATGGTCTTGAGTTTGCGTAGATTCTATTCTTAGCTAAGAACAAATTCAGATAAGAAAACATTGGTGAATGTCAGAATCTTCGTAAAAAAGTGCGTACGTGAGGTTTAAGAACAAATTTGTTCATAAGAACAGTTGGTGAATGAGGCCCAGTGTTAGGAAGGCCCTTTTCTGTTCCAGCATCACTGTGCCCCAGTGCACAAAGCAAGGTCCATAAAGATATGGTTGTGTGTGTTTGGTGGGGAAGAACTTGACTAGCCTGCACAGAATCCTGACATCAACTCCATCAGACACTTCTGGGATGAACTAAAATCCAACTTCACATCCAACATCAGTGCCTGACCTCACCAATGCTCTTCCGGATGAATGGGCAAAAATTCCCATAGACACACTCCAAAATCTTGAGGAGAGCCTTCCCAGAAGAGTGACAGCTGTACCAAATCCATGGGATGTCATAAAAGTTCCTGTAGGTGTAATGGCTAGGTGTCCCAGTACTTTTGTTCATATATTGCACATCACAAATTAGATGACAACCCCCCCACCCTCCGTCAACAAAAAACATGGCTTAGTACAACACAAGTGAGATACCACTGCAAATAATGTAGCGTCTGAACTTAAGGTAATGATACAGAACCGCTTTTCTCATTAAAGAATAATGCTGGCACTCAAATGTCTCGGCCAGAGTGGCTCACCGCACACCCATTTCTGTCATTAACTGCCCTCAGTACAACTCTGCCACAAAAGAGTCCAAAGCACACGTGGACAAGTGAAGACGTATGAATGAGACATAACCTGTTATACCAAATAGTGAGAACAAAATAAAGACAATAACAATATACTAAATGTGTCTAAAGGACTAGATAATTGGAAGTGGCAGTCTCTAAATTATGTATTCTTTGGGCCCAAGCAACACACGGAGAAGGTAAACTGTGCACGCACACACACGCACACACACACCTACACAAACGCACATGTAGGGTAAACATATCCTTATGTGGACCGCTCATTCATTTCAATGGAAAAAATGCTAAAGGTAACTATGACAACCTTAACCCCCACCCTGCCCCAACCATAACCATAAGTAACCTAACAAAATACAAGAGTTTTTGCATTTTGAGTTTTTTCATAGCAGTCACCGATTTTTATAAAATAGAGTTTTACCTTATGGGGACCAGGAAACCGGTCCCCATAAGGGAAAAAAAACGGATATTTATCACGTTATGGGGACATGTTCCCATAAGGATAGGTAAACTCGCCCGCACACGCACACACACACACACACACAAGTTGGTCTTCCTATCTAAATGGGGACCTCAAATGTGATCTATGCAAACCCACACACACACCAGAGTCAAAATTACAATGTACTACTACCACTAATAAATTTCATTGCTGCTTCTGTAGCTATGTCCACCAATCCTTTCAATCGAAGATTGAAGAAAATGGTGACAGCCGTTTGCGCTGCAAATTAAAAAACACACACAAAAGAAAAAGCAGAAACAAAATGAAAATGTGCTGCAAATTAAAAAACACACAAAAGAAAAAGCAGAAACAAAATGAAAATGCGCTGCAATTCAAAAAAGACAAACAAAAGAAAAAGTAGAAACAAAATGAAAATGCGCTGCTGCTTTTTCTTTTGTTTGTGTTTGTCTCTAGGGGCCTCCGTAGATTTTGGATGGCGGAGACCAGCGTGGACATTAGAGAATTACCCAAACAACCCTATCCTATCTGCTTTTGGCTCCCCCCTAATCAGCATTGGCCTCTGACAAGGCCGCTGCTGAATTAACAACTCCCCCGGAAGAACAAGGCAGTGAGACTCTCTTGTATTTGCATCTCCCCCAATCCCAAGGACACCTGGATACACACACACATATACATACGTACCACACCCTCCCCCCCATCTCACGCCTTTGCCGCTTCATACCCCCAGCGTGAACAGGTGGGTCTGTGATCAGTGCCTCTGGCTGCAGAACCGGATGGCTGTTTGTCTATGCTGGACTACCTCAACTTTCCCTCCCCTGTTGCAAGTCACGACTTTTTATGTTGTAAGGTATAGTGACTATGTGCTTATATGTTGCTGGAGTCTCGGAAGCTATGGACGTAAGACACAGAATACCCAGGACGGGGCGCGAACTCATCGCAGGGCACCTACCCCATTCACCCACAATAACGACGTCATTTATGTAAAAACGATTTTCAGTCCTACATTTCCCAGAAGGCTATACGCAGAAAGCACATGCGCAGTCGTTTCCTAAGTCGTTGACGTTAGTACTATGACAACGGTGAGATTCTGTGAAGTAGTTGAACCGCTGAGCTGCTGAAAATGTACTAAAGCTCAAATATACCATTTTCCTCTAAGGTACAGTATAAGAGTTTCATTATAAATGCTGTAATTAATTTAGGGGACTGTACCAAAATGTACCCGACAACAATTAGTTTCTTTCTAGCTAGTTGAATCGTCCTCCTATATTGTTAGCAATCTGGTTATCATGCTATCTACGTAATTTCTTTTTTTAACTAGAGACATATTACCTTGTGTTCTTACATGTAAGAGGAATGGTATAAATGTGCAAATAGGTCAGTACGAAAGCTAGAGTTTACCTTAGTCAGCTGGTCATGGTTTGTGTAAATTACCTGCTATCCATATGGTCATCGCATTTTTTAAGAATGAAAAATTAGCATCTGATTCATTTCTTTGATTCTGTTTTCCCATAAAACTGATTGTTTGTATCCCCATAGCTAAATTGGCTAATCTTCTTACAATACTGCGTCATTGTAGCGAGAGGGATTAGCTAGCAAGCTTTCTTATTTCTGGATTGATTATAGCTTGTGCATTCAGAAGCTGAAAAAGTAAGCTCTTGAAATCTAAAAATCTAAAAATTCTATAATTATTTTTAAATGCATGCATGTAATTCATGTCCACTATTTTAAATCTGTAAAGGGAAATTTGCTTGACTTAATGTACATTAAGACAATATTTTTTTGCATTGTGTCTAAATACTTCTGTTAGCAGTCACGTGTTTAGTCTATCCAGCTCATTGACTAGACCGATAAACCTGGCCGAGGGTATGATGTGAGCGGGGCCCTTCTTTGATGTATAATATAATGTATTAACTGTCCATTCCACCTCCTTCCCAATTAGGGGAACATATTGTATTGACCTGAGCAGTTTCCTTCACATTGTGCCATGTGCTCGATCCCCAGATTTTCAGTATAGTAATGTGTAGTAACAATATATTAAATGAAAGTTTCGAGGATACTTAAAAAGCTTTGGATTCTTGAAAACAGAGTTAAGTCGATGGTATTACAGTGAACCCACGCCTATCGCGGAAGATGCGTTCCAGACCCGTCAGCGATAGGTGAAAATCATATAATTTTTTTTTTTTCTTATAGTTTAAGCCTTAAAATACTCCTCCGACACACTTTAAACACATGTAAGCTTATTAGAACAACACATATATGTGGATGTCCTGCTACGGATATGAGTAGTAATAATAATACTAATAATAATAATAATAATAATAATATGTAATGTGTGTGTGTCTCTGTATACGTAATGGAATATATACAAATAAAAACACGTATGGCTCATATATTCTTTTCATCCTTCTTGATGTAGCGTACCGTCGGTTCATTACCACGGTTAAGTTAACCTCATAATCGATATTCAGTGTTCTAGCTTTAATAACTTTTCACGGAAGTAAGATGGGGCGTTTTTGATGATAGAATCGTGTGGTCCAGTACACAGACAACGATGCACACCGATTATTTTTGCGCTTCAAACCATTTCGTGATTTGTGCAAAATCGTGTTAATAGCTAATATTATAGGTGCTGTCAGCTGTAATGACATGGTGGTTTAGCATTTTGGGCTCATGGCGACTATTGCACACCCCTTTGTTTCCCAGATTACTTTACGTAAAATTTTTATTTAATTTTTGAATGTTCGAATGTATCCGTATAATGTGCAATGGGACAATACATGAATGGGTTAATACCTTTAAAACTAGACAAGACAGGCACATCTAGTGAAGTGTGTTTTGATCAGTGGACTACAGGGAACAATGCACACCCCTTGAATTTTCAGATTATTTTTGTCTGTAACAGTTATTAATTATTATATTGCATCCATTTAAAATGCAATGGGGCAACACATTAAAGGGTTAATAGCTCTGAAACCAAATGGGACAGCCATGTCCTATGGAGTGTGCATGAATCAGGGGAACTTGGGGCACAATGCACACCCCTTATATTTTCAGGATCACTTTCTCTCTATCAGTTATTAATTAATACATTGGATTTTTTTTATATTAACACTTTTATTGAGAAAGCACATATTATATTACAGTAACATAGCTGTTGACATTGCCTTTGCTTTCAACGTTTTAACCATCCTACTAGAAAGATAGAGGAAAAAAAAACACTGAAACTTGGGTGGAGGTGTTGGGGTTGCTGGGTTACAATCACATAATTGAGATGAGGGTTCAAATCAGTGCAGCAACATATAAAGCAGCAGGATTTATAGAAAATCAGACCTAACAGGCTTAACAAATTCCGTCCACTTAGTCCATAATTTGTAAAAGGTATCACTCTGCACTTTGAGAGAGAAAGACAGTTTTTCCATTGTATAAATTTCTTGCACTACATTTATCCAGTCTTCAGTTGTTGGTGGATCAGGTTTGAGCCATCTCCTCGTGAGGGCCTTTTTACTCGCAGCCAATAAGATGTACAAAAGTTTTTTATTATCGAGGGTCAATTTATCCACCGGTATATTACACAGAAATATGATTTCAAAGGTTAAAGGAAAAACAAATGAAGACATTCTGTACATGCTCATGGATTTGAGACCAATACTGATGAATGGCTTGGCAATCCCAGAAAATATGAAAATGATTGGCACTATCTCCCCCACATCTCCAACAAGCATCCCCTAATCCCCGATACATTTTCTGGGCAGGGGTAATGAAAAATCTCATTATGCTTTTCCAGCAAAATTCATGCCAGACATTCGATCCTGTTGTGCCCCATTGTATCTCACATATATGGTCCAAACATTCCTCTGTAATTGTCAGATTGCCCTCCTTTTCCCACTTCATTTTAACATGAACAGTGCTGTCATTTCTACACCACAGGATGCTATTGTATATTCCGGAAATAATTGTATTGTGCAGTCCAGATTTAGTTAACGATACAAATGTTTCCACAAATCACAGGTCATTTAAATTCACTTTTAGGTCCTGGTTAAAATAATTTCTGACCTGTAGGTATCTGAAGAAATCGTCTGAGCTTAGGTCATGTTTTCTTTTCAAGGCTTCAAAGCTTTGAATTTTGATCCTAGCCGTTGGTTTATTATATAAACCTAAAATAGTGTCAATTATAGATTTATCAAAACCAAACCTTAAAAGCATTTTATATAAAAAGGACCACCACACTGAATCAAATGCCTTTTCAGCGTCTAGACTTAACACTAGGGTCTCTAGTTTTTGTTTATCAACCTGCCTCATTACGTGTAGAACCCTCCTGATGTTGTCCTGAGTCTGTCTCTGTTTGATGAAACCTGTTTGATCCTTATGTATTAACACAGGTAGGATTGTTTCTAGTCTCTTTGAAATTATGGAGGTCAACAGCTTATAATCAATATTTAATACACTAATTGGACGGTAGTTACCACATTCTAATCTATCCTTCCCTTCCTTTGGAATGACAGAGATTATTGCTTCCCCCCATGAGGGAGGGACTATTTTCTTTTCCATTACCAAATTAAATGTTTTCAGTAGGGTGGGGGTCAAACAATCTCACATTATTTTGTATCATTCTGGGCCAAATTCATCTGCCCCTGCCATTTTCCCTCCCTTTAGTCTTTTAATTGCCGAGTGAATTTCTTCTTTGGTTATTATGGATGACAACATTTTATTTTGTTCCTCTGTCACTGATGGTAACTCTAGTGCAGGCAAAAAGGTGTTCACATCTTGATCATTATCTACATGGGGTTGAGAATAAAGATTTCTGTAGTAATCCTGAAAACATTGTTGAATTCTCCTCTGTTCAGTTTCTATTTGACCATTAAAAGGATTCTTATATTCTAAGTATAGTCCTCTCCGCTCGTTGCTTCCTGAGTTTATAAGAAAGAAGTTTTAGTGATTTCCCCCCTATTTCGCAGTACTGTTGCTTGATAAAAAGCATTTTTTCTGTATGTCCATAGTGTGTAGGTAATCCAATTATTTTTTCAATTTTATTATATCAGATTTAATATCATCATTTAAAGTCAAGGAGTGTTGGCGCTGCAGATCTAACTATTAATCTTCTAAGTGATGGAGTTTTAGCCAACTTTCTTCAAGTGGGAGGAAATACTAATAATTTTCCCTCTGATCACTGCCTTCAGTGTGTCCCATATTATTCCTGGTGTCACCTCCTCATTCTCGTTAAGATCTAAATAAGTAGCTATTTCTTTTTTCAAATCTTCTTTAATATTTGGGTAATTTAGAATGTTCGTATTCAACCTCCATAGGGTAGATCTATTTTTCCTGTTCAAGCAGATATCAGCATAAACCGGGTTGTGGTCTGAAATAATACAGGGACCTATTTCACAGCTTTTCAGCCTAAATAAATCATTCTTAAACATAAACATATAGTTTAGCCTGGAGTATACATTGTGTGGATATGAGAAGTGGGTGTATTCTCTATCTGTTGGATGATAATCTCTCCATACATCAAATACTCCTATATCACCCATAAGGCTTACCATCCTTTTGCATATGTTTCTTGCATCTCCTTTCCCGTTCAAAGAATACAATTTAGCGTTTAATGTGATATTAAAATCACCACCACTTAAAAGTTCCCTGGCTCCTTGCTGACGCTAATTCTAGGATCTGCTTATACAGGGACCAATCGATGTTTGGGGGAACATACACATTTAACAGATTGGTCAGGGTACCATCAATTTTACCCGTTATCATTACATATCTACCGTCCTTGTCTTTAGATTCTGATATATAAGAACATAAGAACTATACAAACGAGAGGAGGCCATTCGGCCCATCGAGCTCGCTTGGGGAGAACTTAACTAATAGCTCAGAGTTGTTAA